CCTGTGGCGCCTCGCCGGTCGGCTCGTGGAACCGATTCACACACTTGCGTCGAGTCGGACCGAGTGCCACTGCTCCGTCTTGCGGCGTACGGGTTGCTATGGCAACGGCTGCGTCGGCTCCAACAAAAGCGGTTTTTACGCTGTTTTCTGCAGTGACAGCTCTGGGATCCCCTCTCGTTCCAATCAGATCCCTGTTGTCTAGTCAGCCTAGTCGCTGTCAGGGTGAGAGCGGCAAGGAGGTCTTTCAGTTGTCCTGCCTCCAGCGCGCGCTCCATATGCTTCGATGACGCTTCTTCTCATGAGCCTGGAGCGGGCCGGGGCCGGTCATCCAAGATGCCCTGTCGTTCTCGTTCGGGCCAACTGCCGAGAGCTTTCGGAGCCAGGGATAGAGGGAAGTGGCGGGAAAGAAAGGTGGCGGCGGCGCTTGCCAGGAATCCCCGACTGAACGTCCGCTGCGTTCTTCATAAACGCGATTCCGCTGCACATATGACGGTCGGACCCTACGATAGCTTGAAATACACCTTCAAACTATTTTGTATGCACGCGTTCTAGTTTCAAAGGTTTTCCCCTCGTTATCCTGCTTTCTCTTCAAAAAAAAAAAAAAAAAAATTGCCAGAATAGTTTTTCGACGTTTAGAATGTCTTGCGACGTAAATATGCTACTGATGTGTATGCTTTTTTTTTTGTTTGTTTCTTGGGGGGGGGGGGGGGGGGGGGGGGGGGCAGTATTTTGTCGTTGTCACGTCCCGCCGCTCAAATAAAAAAAAATCTTTAGTGTTTTTTAAGCAAGTTCATTTATTATCAATAGCAGTGATGTGTTTTCTGCGCCAGAGCGCTTACCCTGTTATGCCCTGCTTCATTTCACTAAAATGTTCAAAAGTTGTGCCAGAAATTCATTTCATTTTCTCTACATTGACGAATCGTCACAGTGGGCGTGCGCGAACCTTCGAAACTTCCCATTGGCTCTTCAAATAACATATATCTTGATCTGATCTTCGATATCTCTCGTTCGCGGCGTGTCCGGGCGGACTAGTTAGCTCCGTTGTGTGCGCTCCACGCCGGGCGCGGGTGCACGGCGGAAAAGCAACACTCGCGGGGTAGACGTCGTGATGTTGGCCGTGTTCTATAATATGCACTGGACCTCACTCTAGGGTAAAAGTTCTGTACCTTTGCGTTCGAAAACCTACCCGCGTCCAGCGTTGCTCTTTCTGTCTCGTCACGTGACATGACCCTCCGGAGTAACCGCTCATTCACACTGGAAGCGGTTATACAAGTTATACAACCGCGTTCGCTACCACGTTGCGAAAGCGGTTGTTTAAAGATACAGTACAATTCCACGTGCATTTGATGACATCGGCGGTTACTCGGATCCGTTCGAGTAAGGTTTGGAGCGCAGCCTTTGTGTATCTCGATTCGCCGCAGCGCAGCCGTGTGCTATGGGGAGAACCACCCCTCCTGAACAAAAAGGCGCTCGCGCACGCGTCGGGTATTAAAATAAAATAAAATAAACTTGATGAATGTGGATGTGGCAACCTTCCCTCTCTATAAAATTCGCAAAATCACCCCTCGCCTAATATACAAGATTTTTTTTAAGCTTTCCTGATTAAAAAAAAAGTTGTGAAAGCTTCATTAATGTGTTCTGTAAAAGGGACCTAGTTTTCGCAATAAGTCTGATAACTAACTAAAATTTGTTAAACAACTTTTTCATTTGTGAAAAGAAACATTTGGCTCATGTTAGAAACTTGCTGAGTGTAATTGAAAGCCACCAAATAATTAACTTTATAAAGGCTTCGAGTATGTGGGAAGCACAGTGCTGTGTCGAAGCTACCACTTGTGCTACAGGTGGAAGGACACACTGGCGTAGCAACGGGAAGGGGGGGGGGGGGGGGGGGCAGGGTGCTTTGGGCTCTTTGTACCATATCTCCCAGTCACGTAGGGGGGTGCCACCCCTGGCAGCACCCCCACCCCCCCACCCTCTTTTGCTGGACTGGTTGGTTGTGATCTCAAAGAGTAAAGGGGTGGGGAGGGGGGGTAGCTGCAAAAGACATAAGTGTCCCGGGTACCAGATGGCCTAGCTACACTGCAAGGACAGCTTGGAATAAATTGCAATACACCCAATTTTGGGTGTCAGACTGCCTCCCCAAAAGTTTATTTTGCTGCAGAGTCGTATGTATTTGGTGTGAAAAACAAACCAAAACTAGAGTTTAGAATGACTTGTTGGCACAATGCACTCAATTATGGGTGTGTCAAGATGCCACCCTAGAAGTTCCTTTTGTTACAGGGTCATACCAAAGCCAGAGGTCAAACCTAAACCAGAGCTCTGTGTAGTTGTTTCACTCTTTTCAACATAAGCATTCTAAGTTCAATATTTTTGGTGTCTCGGTGGTCATAGGCTTTACGTTATTAGTCCACAATGAGAGTCGTCTATAATGACGAACCGAGGTCAAGATCACGAACACCATTTAAGTTTGCCACGGTTTTCGGCTGTTTCTGCTTTACGCCGGCATAGCCTTACCTCAAGCACATAGCCAGGGGGGGGGGGGGGGGCATGAAGCCGCCCCCCCCCCCCCCCCCCCCCGAAATCTTCCATTTTGCTGGGACCTCCTCTCCCCCCTCCGCCTTGTACAGCATCTTGTAATGGGCGCCCCCTCCCCCCCCGCCCCCCTCCCCCCCCCCCCCGAAACAAAATCCTGGCTCCGTGCCTGCCTTACCTCCTAAGTGGCGAGAGAAGTGTCCTGCCTTTGCTTTTATGCTTGAGGGGTGCACACAACTTACAAATGCTCTTCAGGTTTGTCACTTGCAGCCGTGACGAGCATAGAAGAAGCCCGATAAATTGCATCCTTGTTCTTTTGCTTTCTCGGGCAGGGCAACCGTCCGCAGACAACTCATAAGCTCTCGGTATACTGTGTAACCCAAAAACCTCTTATCTTTTTTTTTTTTTTTCCAGTAGTGAATTGTGTTTAGGAAGCTTGTGTCCATAATAATGAGACAAAAATGCACATTTTTACTTGGCTTGTTTTTTAGGCTAGCTGTCCATAGTCCCGACTACAGTTTCCTTCGTTAACGAGGCAGAATAGACCCTTTTTAATAGTGTGTGCCATCTAGTAGCTGCTATGCCAATTACCTGCATCTGCCATTGTTTGATCACATACTCTGAGCCTCTATTAGACTCGAGGGCTGCACCAGCGCTCAATGCAAACTCGGGTCCGACTGCACCGAAAACGAGCGCTGCGTTCGGTGAAGACTTGGGTCCAATCACGTGCGTGATGCCCAACGTTACTAGAACACTCGGTTAAGGAACTCTCTGTTCAAACCTGGGCCGCTGGCGTCCGCCAAGAGCGAGCTAAGTATGACAACAGCGTCACTCTTAATCTTTTGTCTTTACTGTGGTCACCTTGAGCTTTTGGAAAGCATGTTTTTGCATAAAAAAAAAAAGAAAAAAAAACTCTTTTTGTAGTAACTTTTATTGGAGTTTAGTACAAAATGATGGGCACATGATGTTTTCCAAAAGCTTTGGTCTTGTGGCACAATTAATGTTTTTATACAACCATGTCTCAGCAGTGATTTCAGGTAGTGTGTCCCGACCTGGGCGCATCCTAACTTTGGTTGTAATTTGCGGAACGTCCTCTTGGGAGACGGGGGTGGCACCCCTGAAACCCCTTCATTGTATATGTTTTGGCGCCCAAATGGCCGATTAAAGCCCAAATAAAAGTCACATGCAGTTCCTCGAGTGGCTGCTGCAAGAGAAATGGCGGCATTGTGATTGCCATTAGCTCGGTTCTCTAGTACAGATCGGTGCCACTTTCTTAGAACAGGCTCTATGGCGGTTTCTTAACTGAGTGGTTCTAGTAACGTTAGTGATGCCCAAATGGCGACCGCCAATGTTGCTTGACATGGTTTCGGAAAGAGTATAATGCGGGGACAGATGGGTCTCCAAAAATTCTTTCTATATAGCTGAGCGTGCATGTTAAAGGGGTCCATATTAATGAAACATTGCCGTATTGTTATGAACAAAGGTTTTCATCGGGGGGGCTTTTTGCTTTTTAAATATTCCGAGTTCTTGGTTGTCTTGGCATGTGACCGAGGAAAGGAGAGGGGAAGGGAGGGGTGTAAGCAGGTAGGTAGGTAGGTGGGCTGAGCGTCTGGTTCTTGCCCCACAATTTCCTCACATAAAAAGCTGGGTTTTGAGTTGCATACAATTTCCTCACATAAAAAGTTGGGTTTTGAGTTGCGTACACCTTTTAATTTCCAGGATATTGCGGGTAATATTTGCATAAAGACTATCCAACCACAACTGTGTTTTCTTTGAACCAAAAAAAGCGGAAAAAATTAGACGAAGAACAAGTGAGCGGAATGTACGCGACAAGCACTTGTGTACATTCCTCTCACTTGCCCTTTGTTTAATTTTTTCTGCATTTTTTTTTTTTGTTGTAATGCATCACCAACTTGCCCAAGTTGGTGACTCTTATACTTTGAAGTTGAGCTCCGGTAATTCCTTTCAGCTGTCCAAATTAAACCCATTTTCAGAATACCGAGGCTTTATTCTTTCTGGCTTGCTATTTATTACTTTGAAATTAAGAATTACCATTGAGAAAGCGTCAAATTAAGGTGATGCCAAAACCAACATTCAGATTTTCCCACGCTCTCCAGTGGGGCGGCATCCCACATCGTACAACTTGCAAGTCAAGCAGGCAACATTTTTTATAGTAATGCGTCAGGAACAAGCTGTAATGCTCCCCCCCTCCGCCTTTCCATTGCTCTATAATACAACATCTGACTTTACGTCTTTAGTGTTGCCAGTAAAGCCTCTCGGCCTCTGAGACCAATTTTGAAACTTCACTAACTTTGCGGAAAGAAATGATTTTGACATGTAACTTTGGTTGCTAGTTCAGATGTGTCTAATAGATTGCCAAACCATTTTTGAGGCAAATCAGCGACTACCAAGATTGAGCCGGAGCTCCTGTTTAAGACTGGAACGCCCACTTCCCCCTTGCCTCGCAGGCGGCCGACCTGTATCCCGTGGAGGAGAACTGGACGTGCCCGGAGCCCCGGCCGGGGGATGACGCTTGTGGCCGTGGCCTCCAGTGTGGTACCCTCGGGGCAGGGGGCCCTCCCCCTCACAACTACACGGACCCTTTTCCTCCGGGGGTGCTGCTGCACAATGCCACCCTGGGGCCACCACCCGCCGACCACATGGCGCCCTTCATGCATGGATCCTTCGGTGAGGGGGCGCTCCTTGCGTGTGGCGCGAGCCAACCGAATCGGCATTCTTTGGAGACGTGCCCTTTGCTGGTGACCTTTCTCTTTTGATGGACGTAAGGGGAATGACGAGGCATGGGGGCTGAGCTATAAAAATTGCTTTCAAATTCTAGTGGTAGGCGCATTCGGCGGTAAAGAGGATTAGCGCAAGTGATCGACAGCCGGAGTGGTGAAATCACGACAAGTGACGGGCCGTTCCCATCTTTCCATCTCGGGCATTGCACCGGTGTACAATCGTGCAATTGCACCAGGTTAGCGGTGGCATTAATCTAACAAAATTCTTGATGGTTAGATATCTACAATGTTCTATTTGATTGGTTTGGTTTGCTTGCACAGCTTGCTATAAGAGTTGTATTTTTAGCTGACTGTCTGAAACATTGATGCGGGGACTGGAAAGACCGGTACGGCTTTCCAGTATTAAGAATGTTCCTCGTTCCTAGTTGGGAGCAGTACGGTAGACTCGCTTCATGTATGCAGAGTTAAAATGAAATAGCAAATTAGAAAAATATTTTCCCCATTGAAACATCACCCCAATCAATAATGATGAATTCCACTGGTAGGTCGAGAACGCTTTCCAAAACCCACAATAGAGGCAAGATTTTGCTCCGTGGGACCCGCTCCAAATCGACGAGCGGAAGATGGACGCGCATTTTTGGAGTGACCCGTTCTAGACAGTCGGCTGTTCAATATGGCAGCTGCTTGAACTTGACAAGCCGACCAACGCCTCAGCCAACCGAGCTTTCCGATGACCAGTCACAACTGTCCCTGTTTTAGCTGCAGAAATAACACGCGACACAGGCCGTACGAAAATATCTGTACCACGGAGTCCATGTCACAAATAATGAGGAAGTCGTCTGCGTTTGCCACCGTCGCATACCTTTCGGCCGCCTCGAAGCGACAGGGCATGCCCAGTGATCGCCATCAGTGAAGCTTAGATTGCTGGTAAGGCTAATAAACACAAAGAGGTAACAAATCATCACTTGCACGGTCGTTACCTAGTCTGTTCTTGCTTTATACCATAAGAAAACGCCGGTTGCACGCAGTTTAAAAAGGTAAACAATCAGTAACAGCAAAATGAACTGGCCTAACCTTGCGTCTGCCTCCTTCAAATTTTTTGTCACTCTATTTTTCGTTTTTCCTATGACGATCAGATGTCAGCACTTATGATTTGCCTCACTCCCGTCCCGGCTTTGCACGCCTGATCTAAGCGAGGTAGGAGCTTTCAAGCCGTCAGAATTCCACCTAAACAACCGTTGTATCCAAACAGATCCAACTTGACGGCCAGGCTGGCCTGGCGACCTTGCTGCACATGCACACTGCCGACTTGCAGGAAATAATGTAGTGCGCTTCTGTCAACTTCCACCAAGCTCCCTGAAATCCCACAGTACAAGTTCGGCGCGGTCGGAGGGGCTCTCCATGGGGCGGGCACTGCCACAAATCTAAGAGTGGAAGATGACCAGCTTGAGCCGGATCTGCGAGCGGAATTTATCATAAGTAATGAAGGGTTCTTTGCCCCTAAAACTGCACGATGTTGCGAGACAAGCTGAATTCTTTTTATGTGCGGAAAGACATCCAGGGTTTTGAAAAGCAACAAACTGAATTGAGTCGCAAGTCAAGCAAAAAACGCAAGTTCCAGTTCAAGTAATTGAACTCTCATTGCAACTAGAAGGGTATCTAATCACCGAAATCGCAACTAATTGAAGCTAGTTAAAATACTCGGTATTTGGTTACTTTTCGGTTCTGCTTTTTGGGGGTGCTGGCTGCCCTGCGGGGCATTTTAAAGTTTCGCACGTCGAGTCGACGGGAGTTAAGTTTCTTTGAAGATAGCACGCAAAGTACCATCCTTTTCCTCGAACTGTCTTCCAGATGACACTTGAGGTAAGATAGGGTAGTGCAGTTGCTCGTTCGCCCTCTCCTCAATCTTCCTCGGTCGTTGTCTTTTTCGTCTGCCGCAACTGGTTCTGTGCATTCAATTTTCGGCCTTTTTTCGCGCCGTGCAAGGCAGCGCGCTTTTTGCTGCAGCTCTTTTGCCACCCAGAGCTCAACCAGCTGCACGTGCGCTCGATCGGCCCCGCAACCGACGTCCGTCTCGACTTGCTCCCCGTACAGGCACGACGGCGTGCACGGGCCTGCCGTGCAACGACGGGTCTTCGCTCGGGGAGGGCCCTCCCTACGGGCAGGACTTCCCGGACTACCTGTACCCTCCAACGTCCGGCATGGGTGGCACCGTGGGCACTGTGGGCGGCCTGAACATGGGCATGTGCGTGGGCAACCTGAGCGGACCCCCCGTGGGGGCGCACGGCCAGAATGACTACCTCTACACGGACTTCCTGGGGGACGAGGACCTACACCTTATGGACATGGTGGCCTCGCCAAGCGAGGGTGAGTGGACCGGACTCCTTCCTTTCGGGGTTCTCGTGTGGTCTGGCAGTACCGCGGGGCCCAAAAAACGTCCGCAGCCGGCGTGTTTACCTTGTCCTCAAAAGCTGTCTCTCGATTTCCACTCCAACGACTTTGTGAAGGCGTCGCGCCGTTTGGTTGTCGCAATTCTGGCAGTGGCACGGCGACAGATGTGGATGCGCCGGATGCCCGTTCTGCCGCGGGTCTCTCTCTGCAGTCAAACGATTGACGGGAGCCGAAGCAGACTCGAGACAATATGTCGTGACGACGGCGACCCTCGCATGCTCCCGCTTTTTCTGCAGGTGTTTCTGTAACCAACGGACAGGATCACGTTGTTGAACGACACAACGTTTCAAGATTACCATTTCCGTTTGAAAAAGGTGTGCAGTGAAACCTCATTATATAGAACACGGATATATAGGATTATTGCTTATATTGAATCATTGTCGAACTATCATAAGAATTACATGCATTTTAAATTTTTTATAACAAACTCAATCGGTTAAAAAATGAATATATTGAACTCCTCAGCGCCGGAAAGCTGTGCTCCGGAGACGGGCGGCAGGCTTTCCCGTAGCACATCGGAGGATACGGCGGGCTTTCCCGCAACACATCGTAGGATAGTGGTGGCGCAGCAGGCGTTTGCAACTTGTTCAAGCGCATGCCCACATAAAGCTTTATGCCCATGGTGCCGGGAACGCCATCCAGATTCGGCGGCATACGGGCTCAGTCAGCTCAATCGTATCGCCAGCATCACTCTTTTTATGCAGTGTGCGTGGCCCCCGCAGTTTCGTTCCTCCGGGTTCCTTCTTCTGACGTTGCGTCAACCGCATGTGGCGTACTGATGGCAACAAACGTAAAGAAACATACGTCGCTGACGTTCGCGACGAAGCTTGAAATCATCCGCCGCGTTGAAAAAAGGAGAAGAGAAGTCCAGCGTTGCCGAAGCGTACAACATACCGCGAAGCACTTTGAGCACGCTGCTGAAAAGACGAAAAGAGACGTCAAATCGAAACTGGAACGAAGCAAGCACTCCGGCGCACGCCGTGTTCTGACACCGGCCTTCCAAAAGGTGGAAAGATCACTTCACATAGGGGACGCAAGGGCTCGGAACATTACGGTGTCGAGGCTGATGCCTCAACGGAACGCAAAGGACTTTGCGTTTATCCACCAAGCACAAAACGTCGCCGCAAGTAGCGGGTGGCTACAACGTTTCACAGCCTGTTACGACATTGTTGGGAAGACTGTCTCGCTTTTACGCCGCTACTGCAGTGCAATCGACGCTAGTGGTCTGGCGCAGGGGTACTGCTTGGAGACAGAGGAGCGGGTTGTAATAAGGCTAGCGGTCAACTCCATGAAGCAATCTACACCGCGGCAGTTTTTTTCGCCGGAATAAATAGTTTACCTTAACGCTTCACGTGAGTAGTCATTTTTGCCAGTAGCCTTTTAGTGATTAAATTGCGCTGTACTTAAAAGCTTTTTTTGGTGTGATTTTGTATATCGAATTCTGAATATATCAAACTATTTCACGGTCCTCGCACTGTTTGATATAATGAGGTTCGACTGTATTCGAATGGGACAATTTATTTCGACGTCGCAACTCGGGGTTTCTGGGTTCACACACAGCAACTCCTGAAGCTCTAATTGCAGTGTTCTATTGTCGTTGTTAAAGCTTTAAATGTATTGCACTATTTAGACACAAAGTTTCACATTAATGACATCTTGTTACGGAAAGAATAAACAAAAAGGACGGACAGGAAGATGTCAGTCCTTTTCTGTCCTCTTTGTTTGTTTCTGTAACCAGTTACTGAAAGTGAAAGCCAATGCACTCACAATCAAGTTTGTATTAAAAGCATAATTCTATATCTTTGATGGCATTGACAGTATCATTACCGTAAAACCATTTACAGTAAAACCTCGTTATAACAAAGTTGAAGGAGCGGTCGTAATTATTTCGTTATAACCATTAGTTTGTTATAGCCAATGTCCATTTCTTCCCACTATTAGCAAACAAGGGGAATTATGATTGCTTTGTTATATCCATTAGTTTGTTATATCCCGTTTTGTTATAACGAGGTTTTACTGTAGTTACGAAAACAATCTATTGTAAACTAAAACCAAGTTAAACTCCCTGTCCAGTTATCACCACCACCATCACCACCACACTGCAGCAGTCACGTGAAAATATTGCATCCCTGATTGGCTGCTGCCACTTCAGATGGTTTTAAGAGAGGACGTGGGGCATGAATAAGAGCGTCCTTATTTCTAGAGCTATCTTAATTAAATTTAAAGGGGGTGAATATAACATATACATAAGAGTAACTGCAAAATTTCATGGAGCTGTGCATATTATTTCTCAACTTGCAAATATCAAAATCGTCCATATCTGTTCCTTATCCCAGGCCTGGAGAGTTTGATAAAAGGTGGTATAGCAGTATAAAATTTATTATGGTGACCTTTAGATAGCTGCTCCAGGGCACAGCAAAGCCCCTTTTTTAAAATTTATTTGTTCAAAAATTTTAGCACTACTCCAAATCTTGTGCAGTCGGTGAAACTTACTTTCATCAAATTTAATGTTTTAATTATAAATTTATAACAGTTTTCTAAAAGTAGCGCTCTGTTATGCCCTCACGAAGTTTTATAGGAACGGAATAAAAAAAACTGCACGAAGATCCATTGAGCAGTTCCTAAGATATGACTGGTACAAGCAGCCACAGCTGTGAAACAATCCATTCTGAGAAAACGGCATTTGAAAGTTGCACACACATTTTCGGCTTTAGAACGACCCTGCAGAGTACTCCAAAGTGTTCTTGTTCCACCTACACGACTTCTCTCGACGTCGTTTTTGCTTGCCTTGCGCAAACGCAGGGCATGTTTTTTGGCAGCTCGTTGGAGGGCTAGATGGGCCGGCTGGAGTCCCACTGCAACAGAGATTTCTGTTGTTGCCCCGTAGCTGCCGGCATTGAACCTCAACACGGCTTCGTGCAGTGCAGGGATTGGGCAGCATGGCTTCAAACCTCCTTTGGGTTGCTGGCATAGCTCCAAGTTCGGCTTGAAGGGTATCGCAATGTCTAGATTCTGCTTTGATCTCCTCGCGCGTCGGGAAATGCTTCCACATATAAATGCGGGACGTTGCGTTTCCACTCGTCGCGGCAGGCGGAAGACGAACGCTGGGACCCGTGATTTCTGGAGGAACCGCAGAGGTCGACGTGCTCGGTACTGCATGCTTGAACGGGCACACTACCCGAAACTACTTGAAGAAAGTTCAGACAGTGATCGTAAAGACGACGAAAAATGAAGCGGAGCTGGTAAAGGGAGATTGCGAGCAAGCAGACCACCGCCGAGAGCAGACGACGCGAGCGGCAACAGCAGGGGGAATGGAAAGGTGGAGAGCGCTCCTCAAGCGGAGAAATCGTGTCCCAGCTAATAGAAGTAGCGCGCGCTCTGTCCAATCACGTTATTGCGATTGCAACGTGGAAGAACGCAGACCACGCCGTAGCCACGCGGCCGACGCCGTTTTGGGTGCCGGAAAATAGGAGAAAGGAGTCACCTTCAAAAACAAGACCAAGATGGCGGCCGTCGTCCAAATGCGTCAAGAATGGCAAGCACGCGAAGTAGAGGTTAATTTTGACATTTGACCATCACTTGGACGCTACCCAGGCTTTGTAAATATTTGTTTTTAAATATTTCCTCGTTGTATTAGGTGCTGATAATTACACAGAAAGTAGTTTATGAGGTGTACGACCCAAAAATATAGTTTTCTAGAAATCAACTTTTTTTGTGATTTTTTTGGTTTTCACAGTTTGCGTTTCTAAGGAGGACCACAAGGTTCCGCACGTGCCAACGTGAACTGGGGGACCTGCATGGGGTCTGTGTGCCGGATGCAGGGACATAGCCAGGGGGAGGGCTGAAAGGGCTTCAGCCCCCCCCCCCCAAAATCTAGCCGACCCTATAATATACACATGCATTTTGTCCCCCCCGCAGCCCAAGTAATGGGCATCCCAGTCACCACAACCCCTCCCCCCCCCCCCCCTTCTAGCATACCATATGTACTTGTGAGTCGGCCCCTGTCCTGTCGTGCATGTTCCGTTTCTTTGTCCTTGTCTTATAGTGCTGTTTTCCACTAATCACATACACTTGGGAGTTGCCATGTAGATTGGCAGCCACGTCGTCTCATCTAGTTGGCCAGAACCAGCTGAGCTCAGAGTAACCTTAGGTCACGACAGACTTGCTCCCTCGACGGTCTGCCTCGGTGCAATTCGGGTGTGTCTACTAGGTGAAGAACTTGCAAAAACTCGATGTACCTCACCCAGACAGCAGCCCCAGAGTACAATTTCGGTAGCTGTTACGCTTCGCAGCAGTGATCGAAGCGCGACCTTTGGTGCCCTTTGACTTGACTATCGCGTCCAGTTGCGAGCCCATCATTGGCTTGACCTGGAAACAGAAGCACCAGGTATATACCGGGATCTGGGTGCACAGATGGCACCCCAAGAGGAGTTATGCTGGTTCCTGTCTTGTAGGGCTGGGTTAACGCTAGGGATGCCGCGAATTTTTTTCGAAGCGAAGTTTCGATGATCGAATCAAGCGGTTCGAAAGATTTCGAACTTTCCATATTGAGAATTCAAACTTATTAAACTAAGAAGTTCGACGCTTTTCGAAATTTCAAACTTATTACGCTGCAAAATTCTATGCTTGTCAAACTTTCGAACTTGATAAACTAAAAAATTCAGTGATTTTTAAACTTTCAAACTTCTTGCACTAAAATGTTTGAAGCTTTTTGAACTTTAAAACTTCCTACGCTAAGAAATTCGAAAATTGTTGAACTTTCGATTCCTGGAAAGTCAAAAGTTCAACGAACTTCGAACTTTTACGGTAAAAGTTCGAAGTTCGTCGAACTTCGAAAGACCGGCGAGCAGTTTCATTTAGATTTAAGCAGTGAGGTACATTCGTAATATTTTTTTCTCGCAATTTTACATACGGTGCCGCATTCCTTGCGAAAGACAATGCCGTTTATTTCAATCGTCTGGCATGCTTGGTTTAAAAAAAAATATATTCCCGAAGGAACGAGGAAGGACGACGGGTTTTCGACAATTGTCGTTTGTGCCATATTTGAAGCGCGCTATAGCCGAAGCTATTTATGGTAGAGGTGTTAAACTTTTTAAAAATTATCTATGTATAGCCTAGGTAGTTTCGTCTTAAGATATGATTATTGTTGTTCAAGACGAGTTTCAAAGAAATATCCAAACATGTACCTACGGGCAATTATGCTCATTTTTTTCGCCTACATTGTTTGAGGTATTGTATTTAAATAAACACCAGAGACAGTACATATCATTACCATCTGGAGAAAACAAAATAATGTATTTATTGTTGTTTTTCACAATGAGGAATATATTAACTCATGGGGGAAGATTTCTAAAATTGTTCAAGTTCAGCACGTCATAAATTTTTTTTTTTCTCGTTTTATGTTTTTGGATGTGTTTTTTTTTTTTTTTTTTGGCCTGTACACATTTTGGTAGGAGAAACTTGTTTCATAGTTCTGGGCCTTTGAATATGCAAGAATACAACACTTCCGGCGGATTCTTGATATTTTTTTTTGTTTGTTTTTCCTCTCCAGCTTTTTATTTTTGCATCTATTGTTATGTTTATTTATTGATTATTTTTTACCAATGGCACAGTTATTTAGGTCGAAAAAACATAGCTTTGAACTTCCGAGCCACCGAGCATGTGACGAGTAGTGCCTTCTGACAACGAGTTTCCTACAATGACCATCTATGCGATATTTTATGCAGTGAAGAGCGACAGTAGCTATACATATGCATAAATAATTTCAGATTACAATGAGCTCGACCATGCCTCTTACTCCGTATTGTTTTCTTTAACAGTCCGAAATATCTGGGGGGGGGGGGGGGGGGGGGGGGGGTGGGAGACTGGAGCCCCCCCCCCCCCCCCCCCCCCCTTCCCCCCGTTTTTCCTCTTCCGACGCCACTGGTATGGTAGAACGCTCCTCGACCTCAAGTTGCGTCAGCTTCTGTGCTTTTTGCTCGACGTTTCTTCTGCCCCCCGAAAATAAACCTCCAAAGCAGTTACAAAACAAAAAAATTGTCGAGGTGCAGGTGAGCTGGCGTATGTTGGTCATGATGCAAAATCCCGAGACTGGAATGAAACTTGCAAGAATAGTGTAAGAAGAAAGAAAAAAGGGGACAGGACGTCTCAAACTCAGCTGAGTTGAGTTTGAGACGTTGTCCTGTCCCCTTTTAGAGAGCGCAGCTCTTATGTGCCCGTTTCCGGCTTGAGCGGCGTCGCCGTCGGGGTAACCGCGCGGTGCATTATGGGTAAATTTTCCCGAAGGAACCCGAGGTCCCTCCCAGAGGACCTCGGGTTCTTTCGGGAGGACCTCGGGAGGACCTCGGGTTTCTCCGGGAGAACCTTGGGAGGACCTCGGGTTTCTCCGGGAGGACCTCGGAAGGACCTCGGGTTCCTTCGGGAGGACCTCGGGTTCCTTCGGGAGGACCTCGGGAGTACCTCGGGCTCCTTCGGGAGGACCTCGGGTTCCTTCAGGAGGACCTGTGCGGGGGGGGGGGGGTCACGTGACGATGACGTCATTAGTGACGTCATCATTGATTATGACGATGCGGATGCCGATGACGTCATCAGTGACGTCACTGATGACGTCATCGTCACGTGACCCCCCACCCTTTCCGAGGTCACGTAACCCCCCCCCCTCCCCCCCCCTTTCCGAGGTCAACTGACCCCCCCCAGTACCCTTCCCCTCCTCCTCCTCAAGTGCTGCGCTCTAATTCGGCATTACAGGGAGTTTCTGAACGGCTTTTTTTTTTTCTGTCTTCTTACACTTTTTCTTTCAAATTTCGTTCCCAGAGCTGAGTTTGAGGCGTTGTCCCCTTCTTTTTGCCTTCTTACACTTTCTCTTTCAAATTTCATTCCCCAGTCTCAGGATTTTGCGTCATGTACAAACTAAACTTACTATATGCCAGCGTCACTTGGCGGCGTTCGATCGAATTACTACCAGCATGCAAGGGAG